CGCCAACACTGAACGCAGACTCGGGTTGCTTGCGTCATGTTAGCCATGGCAACACGACCAATCGATCATTGTTTTTTTTTAATTTTTTGCACAAAACAGCAAAAATAAAGGAATGTTTTGCACTTTAACCACAGAACTACCGATTTCTAAAATATACTAGAAATACATGCATGCAGAAACCACGCACCTTACTAGCAAAACCACTATATTTTCCAAACAAGTATTTCAAGTGGTTGTCATGGTAACACGATCATATTATTCTTCATATTTTTGTAAAATTGAAAGAAGTTTTTCTCCAAAAATATCTCTTTTAATTACAAAATTATCAATTTCCCAAATATATTTGTTAGGTATGTTATTATGTGTAACTTCAAACGCTCAATAATTCATAAGCTTATTGGCAAATCATGTCAACCATAATATGTCACGTGCAGTGGCTTTAAACCTGATAAAATACTCCTAATTGATATTCTTTATATAAAGAATACTAATAAGGTAGGATCTATTGTAGTCGTGTCCTCATTAGTATTCTTTATATAAAGAATACTAATAAGGCAGTATATCTATTGAATTTGTAGTTGTGTTTGAAGCCGTTTAATAAACTCGCAGGACGTGTTTTATTAGGTGTAAAGCCACTCGCGCTGCGCGCTCGTGGCTTTAAACCTAATAAAACACTCCTGCTCGTTTATTAAACAGTACATATAAGCTTCAATGTTATGTAAAATTCAACCACAGACGCTTCGCAAAAGTTTTAAAATGTTCATAAAGCTAAACTGCCTTCTATCGATGAACTTTGAGTTTGAAATAAAATGATTTCAAATTCTCGCATGATAATAACTTGCTTATTTAAATATTTTTAATAATCTAATATTAATACAAAGGATAATTAATGAAAATACACTGAAGTTATATGACGTCTCTTTTCATTATACGCAGTATTGAACAAACAGCACATCAATATTTAAAACAGATTTTAACTTACCTCAACTTACCGCAAAAACAAATAAACTGTTTGGCTGATCTTTCCATCAATGATTTTTCGGTTTCTGAATAATGTTTCACTTCGACCGCAAATTCCACTCTTTCCACTCCTGATATTCGTCATAATTTTGAAATCGGTAGGAGGTCCACCCATGACGCCATGAAACAAAGCCACGCGCCCGCGATTATTGATGAACTTTAGACTTCGCTAATGCTTTCCTTTCTCCGGGTGTAAATAGCCGTGGGGAATTAGTACTCTCGCCCCGGGCCGCCGTTGGCTCGGGGATAAAGTAGGTATGTTATTTTGCAAACTGTCTGTACCAGTGTTGTGTACCAATGTGAAAATGCTGTGCTGAGTGGTTATATTACTACCTTAAAAAATAAGCAGAAACTCGACGTTTCGAGCGAAGGCTCTTCGTCAAGAGTTAGTTCGCTCGAAACGTCGAGTTTCTGCTTATTTTTTAAGGTAGTAATATAACCACTCAGCACAGCATGTTATTTTGCATTCTATGAACTTTATGTACTATTTAAAAAACGAGCAGGAGTGTTTTATTAGGTTTAAGGCCAATCAAGTTGCGCGATTCACCAAGATAAATGCTTGCCATAATAATTATAATTCATTTATTAAATGTTACAATACTTGTATCTCTGCAGATGAGTGAAGTGCTAGATAACTTTGGCAAAAAGTTACGCGATATGCTCTGCAGGACTGAAAAGCTTGAAGAGCTTGCAGCCGAAAACGCAAAGGGAGTTGAACGTAACTGGGAGGAACTTCAGCGTCACTCGGAGAAATTTGAACTTCTTGACAAAAAGCGCACGACGGAAGATCATGTTTTTCAAGAATTTTCAGACAAAAAAGGTATTTATGTGTTCGCACTAAGACATTAAATATTTATAATGCATTTTCCTGCAGCACACCTTGGGCAACATGGATAACTTAAAAGTATAGCTATATTTGGAAGTTGATCAATTAGGCAGTCAGTCAGACAATGAGCCAACAGTGTGTAGTCAGTTGGTCAGTCATACATACATACATCATACATACATCAACTTTATTTAAACACGGAAAATCATCAGTATAGTTATTTACAAAACTATTAAAATATTTTAAAAGGAGCAAAAAGAAATATAGATACTGTTCTACCTGATTGCCGTGTGGGAGTCAGATCGATTATTTATTAAGAAGGCTTCTAAACCGGTCTTAAATGCAGCGAGAGAGGTTACTGATCTAAGAGATTCTGGCAGGCCATTCCATAAAGAGGCTCCACTGTAACTGAAGGAGCGTTTCAAATAATCTGTGCGTGGTTTTGGGACATAAAGTTTACCATAAGAATCTCTCAGGTTATAAGCACTCTCACTGGGAGAAAACATCTCTTGTAAATAGAATGGTGTATGTTTATTAATAGTATTAAACATGAGGATTGCCTTTTGCTTTAAACGCTTAGTGGACAATGATTCCCAATTAAGTTCTTCAAGAAGAGAACTTGATGAAATATCATAGGATGAACGGGTAATAACACGGGCGGCCCTATTCTGTAATTTTTGTAATTTTTCGCTTTGCTTTTTACCTAGGCCATCCCAAACAGGGGCACAATAGGAAAAATAGGG